ACAATTTAGGCTATTAATATAAAGGTGTAAACTGATTTTGCTTAATTTGCCTTTCTTTTTTTATGACTTTCAGTAATCTGAAAAGGATTAAAACTGACTCCCCATAGGCCCTCTTGTTCCTCGAGTCTTTGAACAGCTCACCCTTTATTCAGCAACTACCAACACAGCCCTATGATTTCTCTTTTGACTACCTTATAAGAATCTTTATATTTTAACTAAGTTGTTAGACAAAAGGTTATGAATCACAGTTAGACTGTTTAACGCAGACTCAAATTATGACGATTCTGGCCCCCACCTTAGTATAATAATAATGATGATGTGGCAAAATGAGAGTTTCTTCTAGTTAGTATTTGTTTGGGGTTTTTTTTCAATAAACTTTTAAAAGAGAGAAGTGAATGGATACTGGAGGAAGTGTTAGGAATTTCCAAGATTCCTCTGATCTGAAGAAAACAGGAAGCTGTAGTAGTAGGGACATCCTCTCTTTGTTAGGCTCTACTCAGATGCTTATCCTTAAATACACACATCCTATTAATACAGAAGAAGAGTCCCTCCAGCAATCCCTTGAAGAGAAAGAAGAACAAAATCCTTCCGTGTGGACTTTCAAGCCTGCAGAAAGGGAAGAAGTGCTACTTTTCAGCTAATCTTCACAATTTTCTCACTATCTATCCCGTACTGCAATAAAAAACCAAAACGAAACCCAATGGCATTGCTGGGTTGTATTTCACTGTCTTGATGGATGCCATTTGATTCCAAAATGACTGGGGCAGGGGAATAACACGGGGCTGCATACTGGAACAAGCAGGACATATGCAGGTACTGCCATCACGACAGCGTGGATGCAGGCACGCAGCAGGTTTGTAGGCAGCCCTGCTTTTCCCTTCCTCCGGAGCAAAGCAGCTGCTGGAGCACATGCACGGGCAGGAAAAGGAGAAGAAGCCTCATTGTGCTGTACGGAGGAGGCGGGAATTCCAGGAGGGGAAAGGTTCCCTTTGAAGCACATGGCACGAAGAACTTCTCAGCGACCATGGCAACAGCTCAGTGGGTTCCCAGCCTGAGAACCAAGTCACTACCGCCATGCCGCAGGAACAAAACAGCCTGAAAGAAGGAGAGGGGGAGGGGGATTCGGGGGTGGGGGGAGAGAAGCTGGAGCAGAATTAGCCTGGCAGAAACTGAGCGGCTCCCTGGTAGGCAAATCCAGCTAATAATGCTGGTCGGGTTCACAGGGTTTCCTTTTCATTTCCAAAGCTTTCTTCTTCCTCTGTCATTCCCCTCTAGCCCTATTCAGGAGCTCATGAGATCAGTAAAGCCCATGCCTTTGCTTTGCCTGCATGCAGCATTGCCTCAAACAGGGTTGCACTGTGATCAAAGGCAATGTTAAATCACTGCTGCCACACACACCCCCTTCCCAATCAGGGGCCAGTTTCCACAGGCACTCCAACAGCAGATACATTTTTTTTAAACTCTTTCATTTCCCTTGCACCATGTAACACTGACTAAGAAGGACGAGCACTTAAAAAAAATCAGTATGGAAATGGGCACATTAAATTCTGTACAGCTACCAACCCCATTTAGCCCAGGGTCAGACAAGTGGAGGGAGGTTTTTAATACAGACCAGGGGGTAACTAAAAACAAACAAAAAAAAAAAACAAAAAACCCCAACACAAAACAAAAAACCACCAACAAAAAACCCAAACCAAAACACCCCAAATCAAAAAAAGACCACAACAGCCAAAACCAACAATAAGAATAAACCCATACATCTTTGTACCAGATTTGTGTGACATGGAATTTAGTTCTACAGCTTTAAGTGGCCTTTACAATCTACTTCACAATATTCCAAGCTTTCCACGATATCATCTGTTTTCTTTCTTTTCCTCTTAAACTAAACCTCAAAATTTATTCCTTCAAATACACAGGCATTCCCCCACACAAGCAATAACCTTTCTGCTTCTACTACAATATTACTAAACACAAATGTTCACCAGTTTTAGTGAAACAAGTTTAAATTGGTTCCCTTAAAATAGAACTTGCAAATTCATTCTTTTATGGCTTGAGTTAGTTTGAGCTTTTAAATGTATTCCTTTATGATGGGCTTAAGTTGACATGGTTATCCATTCCTTACGTGCATCAGAAAGATGGACAAGGTAACTGTCAGCTTAACCAGGATAACTCTCCATATATATCCTCTTAAATCATAGCAAAGATGACAGCAACCAAACTGTCATCCAAATCAGTGAAAAGTGTCAAAATGAAAGAGAATTGCCCGCATGTGCCATATGCTGGGAAGGGAAGTGCATACAGGCAACTGCCCTGCAGAGTCTTTATTATACCTTAAATTGTTAAGGCAGAGTTTCAATTCTGCCCACGACAGTTTTAAAAGAAAGCAAGCGCTTAACTTCTCTCACCTCCCAGACGCCAGCTTTATTCCTACTGTCAAATCGATAGGTCAAATTGATCTAACCACATTGCTTTCCAACACACAAGATTGGGCTTTCGTTTCACAGAATGGCTTCTAATGGAATTAAGATCTAAAATGCAATTCCACCGTTAGAAACTAAGTGGGAACTGAAAAGGGGAGATATTTCTGCTTCCAGCAGGAAATATAATTGATCACACAGTCTGACTTCACTAGACAAAGCAGAATTCCTGTGATCTAGAAGTTCAAATGTCCTATATACTCAATTTTACGCACCCTACTACATCTTTTAAGGAGGCAAGGATATTCACATTAAGTGAAGTCTTACTGTCACCCACCCAAGTAACTCCTGCAGATGTGTGCATAACAAGGGTTGCTTTCCCATTTATCTCACTTGCGTAACACTCGGATTTCAGCAACACCAGCAAAGCTGAAATGCAACACTTCATATATGCAAGAGGCCAGTACATTTCTGACATGTTTCACAGCCCTACACCCTGTGACATCCACAAGACATCTCCACAAGAGATGCTGGGCAGGCCAACTTGACAGGATTTTGGTAAAGCAGGAGCCTACCACAACTCTATGGAAAAGCAAACACACTGTTAGTCTGGAAAATCAAACAGCGCAGGACAGGCCACCTTGGGGGCAGGATAATTCAAACTAGGTGAGGAACGCAGTAGGCTTGTACTTGATTTCTTCCTCCTTTTTTCTAAAGGGAAGAAGACCCATTTCACTCCCCTGCTCAAGGCCACCCCTCCCTCATTTTATTTTCCCTTTCCTTTCTCTTTTCCTTTCCCCTCTCCTTTCCTTTCCTTTTTCCTTTTTCATTAGTTTTTGCTTCTTCCCTCTCTCCCCACTTCCCTTGCCCTCCTCTCCCTCTCCTCCTTTTCCTGTTTTAAGTCAAACAGCTGCCAAACCCTAAAAACAACCAGAAGATGACACATGCACGCATGCAGCAGGCTTAATACCTACCCAGGCAAAACAGTCTTCAGTCCAAACTGAATACTCATGTAGCCATTTGTACCAAAATGCACGGAGGCTAAACTTCTCAGAGACCAAGATAATCACAATGCAATTTATTCCCACTGGCAAGATAACCAAGCTGACTTAACTGACAGATCTGCAAGAAGCTCATGGCTGATGCTCCTGCTGCTATCTGCACCCAACTGTATTTCAAGAATTCTGAGAAGTCCTTCTAAACCAGGACATAACTTGAGCACACTGAGGACTGAGCAGAAGGGTTGCAGAGAAGAGGTGGAAAGGACAAACTACAGCAGCAAGCATGAAATAGGGAACAAACATTTCAGGAAGAGAAGGTACCATGAAGATACATTTCAGAAGAAATGGCACCATGAAAATACAGAACAAGGAGCTGCATTACAGTTACTGTGAAGCAAATATTGCCTAGAGCCTTGGCCAGTGTTTTTTTCACCTGTTAAAATTATTGCACATAAACTGACACACAGGCAACGTTCTGCCCAAACTCTCTGGAAACACCCTATGCAGAATGCAGGAGTCGCCCTCGTTAGGCATCAAAGTAGATGCTACACTGCTCCTGAAGGAAAGCCAGGGACTGCTGTTCAGCAGAAAAAGCCTCAGGAAGCTACCTATGATCTGCAGATACTGAGGTGCACTCATTCTAGAGACCATTGTGGCTTCAGGGACACAGGGAGTATAGAGGACATGGCAGGATCTGGATATATAGCTGTGGGTCAGGCAAGCAATGTCACTATGTCAGAAAATATTTATAACATTGTTTGTGCAGGATAATTATGGTTTCCACTTTCTTCACCCATTTTGCACACCTATTTCCTACTTTCAAGAGCCCAACAGATTGGACTGAACAGATTCCTGCCTTAAATGGCATTCCCTAAGACCCAAGTCAAAAAAATCTAACCTGAGAACAAAAAACAACAGCTTTCTGCTTTCCTTTTTAACGTATCTGGCAGCAGTGATGATATCTTACTGACTTCACTCCATAAAACATAGGGAAACATTTGGCAAGGAATTTAGATTCCAGAGGCTGTATTCCACAGGTTGATTCCAGCAAGCTGAATTTTTTTTTTTATCAATACGGTAAGATTCACTTGTTATTAGAGATACCGATCCTTCAATTAAAGCAAATCAATCTCTTTTCTAGGGTTGAAGACTCCTCTTCCCCCCCGCACAAAAAAAAAATAATCTTCTGATAAAATTGTACCTAATGCAAACCAGTAAGATGCTTTCATTTGACTGCTTTTGATAAGAACATTTCTGTGAGTTAGAATCACACTTGCAGCTCACCCTGTGTCTATTCCAACACTGCTTCTGTTAAACAGCCTTTTTTCCAGAATTCTGTGCTAGGTTCCAGGAGAGCTCAGAAAGGGGCTGCTAGCACTCAGCTCCCCATCACCATCTCTGTCAGCTCAGTAATGACATTATCTTTCTCCAAAGCATCTAGTGTGAAAACAGGCAAAGTGGGGATATTTTGTGGAGTAAATAGAGTTTTCTCTATTTCATTTCTTAGCAATACTTCTCAGGAAGGAACTCTGCCTTCCAAGAAACAGTCACATGCAGTATTTACCCCAAGCTACCCTCTTACCTTTCCCAAGACAGTGAGGCATGGCTTAGGCTCCAACTCTGGCTGTTCCAGTTTCACCACTCCTACCCAGCCATATTCATATAGGTCTTCCTCATCATTGCTATTACACAGTCCAAGTGGATGCATCTGAAATAGAATCAGAAAGAAACCTTTAGACCATCAGCAGAATTCAAAATATCATAGATTTCTTTTGAATACCTTAGTTTATAACATACAAATTTTTTTATTAAGGTACACTGGGAAAACTGAAACATAAGGCTGATATATGGAGTTCAGTACATTTCTGAAGCATGCTATGAATAAAAAAAAAAAAACTTGGAGTGTTGTATGAGCTCACTCTCATCTTGCTTATGAAAAACCATTTAAAGCTCTCAATCACTTACTATTTTTCAAGATTCATCACCAATTCTCCTGTATTTTTATTTTGCTGGGGAGGAAGCCACTGCAATACCAGACAGGGCAGAATCCTCTGCCCAACTCTTAATTCATAATTTCTCCTTTTATTTGTTACTAGTTACTATGACACAGTACTCAGCTGTCAACAGTCTCACAGAGATGAGCAGCTCAACTTCCTCCATTTAAAAGCTTGGATGAGCACTGAAGATGAACCACTCCTGAAGCTCAGCATCTGATGGCTAAACTATTCAGCACAGACATAAAAACAAGGAAGAGAGGCAGGCAGAAAGTGTTCTCTCCAAAATTGCCAGGGCATATTTTCAACATAATTAACCCCAAAAGGAGTCCATAGGATCCTTTATAAGTAAACACAAACCTTTAATCTGTATTAAATATCTAAAGAAACAGAGAACCATCACCTTGATATAATTCCCTTGATGCACATTGTATCAACAGAGCTTTGAAACCTGTCGTGGTTTAAACCCAGCCATACAACTCATTCACTCACTTCACCCCCTTCTTGCCCTCCCCCTACTCTCAGAGGGACGGAGAGGAGAATCGAATAGAACGCAACTCCGCCAGGTTGAGATAAGAACAGTTTAGTAACTAAGGTATAACACAAATCACTGCTGCTACCACCACCAATAATAATAATAAAGGAAATAACAAGGGAAGAGAATACAACATCTCAGCACCGGCTGACCGATAACTCGCTCCCCCAGCCCAACCAAGCCCCGACCGATACCTCTGCCAACCTTGCAGTCCCAGCCCTTCCGGCTCACTCCCAGTTACCTCCTGGCCATGACGTGCTGTGGTATGGAATACCTCTTTGGTCAGTTTGGGTCAGGTGTCCTGTCTCTGCTTCCTCCTGGCTTTCCCTCCTCCCTGGCAGAGCATGAGGCTCACAAAGTCCTTGGCCAAACCAAAATATCCTTGTTATCAGCTCTGTTCCCAGGCCGAAAGTCAAAACATAGCACTGCACCAACTACCAAGAAGGAGAAAAATGACTGCTACTGCTGAACCCAGGACAAAACCATAACCAATATCTAAGAAGTTTCTACTTCAAAATCCTTGAAATGTGCTGGGGTGCTTTCCACACACCTGAAAGGGCAAAGCTGAAACCACGACTCGGGTGCTTTTGTCCAAGGTTACAAAATCTGAATACACTGCTGGGAGGGTCAAACTAACTTCAGAAAGAGCTACACCAGTTTTAAGTGAGTTTGTGTTGCAGAGCAGACAAACAGTAAACCAACAAAGGAGGAACATTTCACTTTATAACTCTAGCACCTCAAAAAGTCCTAATGATGACAAGAAAACTTCCACTCGTCTGTTGGTTTGGTTTTTCTTTCCCTGCCTGCCCACATAAGGCATTGCAATGTTACAAACCACCATGTGAGCAGCTGAGGATCTCCGCTCTGTCACGAGATAAAAATCTCGGTCTTTTCCCAACCATACAAAAAAAATACCTTCTCTGCCCACCTTACTCCAGAAAACATCTTGGAAGAAGACCAAGAGGCACAGAAGATTCTTTCCACAGCCACTTTGCTCCAGAATACTGTTATTCCCCAACAGTTCCCAAGTGTGAACAGCCCTTTAGATCATAGTTAGCAAGCAGATTCTGCAGTTACCATCCCTGGAAACCAAGATAAGCAGAGAGCTGAAAACACCTCTTCCTTTTACAAAGCCTGCGTTTCCTTACCTTTAAAAAGAAACTGGTGATTTTCTCACAATACTGCCCAACACCCTGTCTCCAACAGCAATGCCCCAAGCACCTGAGAAGACAGCCTTCCTGTTTAGAGGCAAACAAGCTGCACATTGCACACAACTCCAAAGGTAGTTAAACATTTGCAGTGTAGAACATTAAAGGCCTCTGAAAAGGGTTTTCAAGACAGTCAGGAATTTGCAACAGTCAAGCATGGGCATACCCTAACTCAAGCATCTCACCTTCATACACAGGGCACATAGGGTACTCTGTGTGGCACCAAGCACCAGGCATTTAGTAAAACCAAAGCTGAATTTCTGAACACTCCTGTCTTCTTCAAAAACCTGGCCTGGAATAGGACCTATGCACAGCTTAGTAGAAAAAAAAAAATTAAAAAAAAAAAAAAAAATCACAGGTCTGGAAGCAGCAGAGTCCTCAAAACTCAAATAACCTTGACACTTCCATCAAGAACTAGCAAATCACTTAAACAAAAAGCTTTGCTAGACCTTTGGGGTGCCACAGCTAGCAATTCCTTGTGATTTGAGACTTCAGTAAAACAACAAAAACCACACAAAGCCCCAACAAACAAACAAAAAACCCCAAACCATTTTCAATCCTGATATGAATATTAACTTGATGCATTTGGAGAGGCGAGTGCAAGGCACAAGATTTAGCGCTCTAAAGTAGTTATCAGCAAACAAACCTCTATATGGTTAGACTCCCAAAGTAGGAGTAGCTGTCCAGAAAAAAGAAAAATCTCTTTCCTGTGATAAGTCACGACCAGAAGAAACAAACATAAGAACTAGTAAGAGCAGAAGATGGAGAAACATAACATGGGGAAAACAGAACCCCTGTTTTAAAAAAGGAAAAAAAAGGGAAGATCCAGGGAACTACAGGCCAGTAAGTCCAAAATCCATGCCCAGCAAGATCATGGAGCAGATCCTCTGCAACACTCTGCTGAGACAAATGGAAAACGTGAATGGAAACAGAGGTGGCTGGCGACAGCCAACATGGCTTCACTGGGGGCACATCGTGCCTGAAAACTTCAGTCCAATTTCTGTGAGTCTTATTCCAGGTTCACATCATACACCAACAGCCGAGTTTTGCTGCAAGAGAGACTGACACATCATTGATTCCTGCCTTCAGCAGAAGCTGCCAAGGCTGAAATTACCAGATCATTTTGACTCTAGCTTCAACCCAAATGGAATAATGTGACCCCTAAAAAGGCACTTGTCTCCCTCTGGCAAACTGCTAACCAAATTCATTGTCTCCATGGTTCCTCACAACAGAACTGCAGGACTCTGTCTCCTATTGTATGAAAACAGTGATACGCAGCTTCAAAGATCATAAAGGATGATCAGTCCTGTAGCATAGCCTCGCAGATCTCCTATCTACCAATCAGGAGAACGTAGGTACAGAGAGCATATCCAGTACATTCTCCCTTTCAGCAGAGGTATATGTTCTTGAGAGGAAAATGTTAATAGGAAAACCTTCTCATCTCACTATACCAGATTAGCCAAGAAGTAAGACTGAGAAATGACATGCACTAAGAAGGATTCAGAGAGCATCATGTGCTTTCAGCTCCCTTTGAGACAAAATACACACGACAATATTAACTACTAGTACCTGAGGTTTATGTATCATGCAGTCAGTACCAGGCACTAAGTCTGACATTTTGAGACAACTCTGGAATACAAACTTTAAACAAAAAACAATTTGTGAAACTAAATGAACTCTTTGAAAAGCTGCATGAGACTTCAAATGGAAATGCAGAATATGAAACTGGGCTGGAGAGCAGATAAGAATGAAGAACTGTATGAGATCTGAGAAACATTGGTTATTATTCTGGTAAGAGGCAACTTCTGCTCAGAGTTACTGATGACTATACAGCTTTTTGAAACTCCTTTTCCAAATGCCAACAGCCCCCGCTTCCTGAACCTAGTCTAAAGAGCTGCATTTCCGAGGAAGCTTCTGAACTCCATCCTGGTCCAAGAACCTTAAAAAAAAAAAAAAAAAAAAAAAAAAAAATAACCACCATCCCTGCCACGTTTGTTAATAAAGGGGAAAAAATTAAGTAGGAACTCATTTCCTCAGTACAGGACTCATGCTGTTCACAGCTGTATTCAAATACTTGTCTAAACCCATGAATTGAACCCACTTAGAACACACACTTTTACTCAGAAACTATAGCAAGGTTGTACTAGGAGCTAGTTACTAGATGAAAGCTGTTCTCTGGCTAGAAGACAAAACCAAACAACTGTCTCAGAAGATTTCTCCTCCAACACGGCCATGCTGGCTACTATCATTGCTGTCCAAGGACAAGTGTGACCACAGCAAGTGGATCCCTTTTGTAGGCCAAAGAGCCAGGCACAGAATGCCATCTTACGTTTCCTACCAGTGCACAGAACACTAAAGCAGAGAGAAGACTGAAATTTATTAAACCACCACACAATGGCAAAATGATCTTGCACACGAGAAACCTCAAACCCCAAAACAAAACCCAGTGTAAGCAGTATGCAAAGCTAATAGGGTGCTGCAGGCTTTGTGCTGGCAAATGTAGAGAACTTATTAGGTACATCTGCAGGCTACAAACTCCTGAGGATTTTGTTGCATCACTTTGGAATCTCACCAGAGTAATTATAGAAATGAATTGCATTATCCTACTAGTGCTCCCTCAAAATCTCCCTGTTTCAGGAAGGGACAACTGACAAAAACATTGCACTGTTCAATTAAAACCACATGCACTGCAAAGGCTAACTGTTCCTGGGCTATTTGTTCCAGTAGATCTGAAGATCTACAGGACCAAGATAAATACTCACCTAAGGGGTAAATCAGACACATCAGTCATCAGCTCTGTGCAACCACCAACACATCAGGGCAGCTCATATTTAAGTACCCAGTGTCAGCTCTTTTAATAAAATGGCATTATTAAGTCAATGACAGATTGTGAAATCTACCAATTTACTAATCTTATCATGACCAGAACTTGGAAACATGACCTCTGTGCCCACTCGCCAGCACCTCTTCCTCTGGGCTCTTCATGGAGTTCCTTCCCCCTGAACACACCAAGCCTTATAGTAACATTTCTGACCAGCACCATCAGAATCATGTTCGTGGTGCATCACTCTGAGCATGCAAATTTCCACCCAGGAATTTCCTCTCTGAATAAATTTCTCTCTGGCTTCCCATCCCAGCCAACAGCATTTCATTCATACTTCATGTTGAGACTCCAATGGCTAGCTAACAGGAAAGCCAGCTTCACTGGTCACTGGGGGTTGATCCATTCATAGGGTTGTTCGGTTTTGGACGTTTAGGGTTTTTTGTTGTTTTGTTTTCGGTTCACACTACAATTAAGGATCCCAAAGGGCTTAAACTCAAAACAAAACCAAAAAGGGTACATTCACACCATGTGAAAATCACAAGTGAGCTTCAACCTTCAAGCATTAAATCCACATGGTATATAATGCCACCAAGTATTTATTGGCTTGGGTATGGAAGCAGGACAGTTAATGACTGCACACAGAGCAATCCCATTATGTTGCTTTGATGCCCATGCTAGCTTGGGTAAAACGAGGCCGGCATTTCTGTGTCATACATAGTTCCAGAAGTTTGCAGAGAGACACAGCATGTCAACACTATGAACAGATTCCCCAATTTCAGTTCTACCGAAAACAAAACATGACCCTAAAAGATCTTAACTCTTTCCCTTTCCTGTCAAAACGTGAGTTCTGGTAAATACAAGCCAGGTCTGGATAACACAACCTGACCAGTCTGAAGAACTTCAAAAACATTCCTTTGAGACCCAGCATTACCTTCCCAACTTTCTTCTGCTTGAATTCTATATTGAAAATTCAGTTCTTCAAATCCCACAAGCCACAAAACATCATTCTTTCTCCCCACCCTTTGGGCAGAAGCAGCTGAAAGATGGTCCATGCTGCACGCGTACCTTCGCTAAGCAGCCACGAGTTTCAGCGGTGCAACCTCTGCTCCCTCCCAAGAGGCCTCCTGCGAGCCAGCAGTGTGGAAACACGGCAGGACACATGCAGTGATTCGAAGGTGTGCTCTGGTCACAGCAGCGAGAGCAGTAACAAATAAATTAAACAAGAACCTCTCCACTAACATTACCTATTTACTCTTCCCATTCTTTTCTTGGTTAAATTCTAGGCTTCCTCCACTCGAGCTGCCCATGACATCCTCTGTGCTTAATCCCCTGTAACTCTAACAGGTGTTTTTCTCCTGACAAGCAACAAGAGAAGAAACATGCCACAGACACCTTTCACCCCGCTGGGGCTTTGCCCCTGTATCTGAGGTTGACCCTATTTCTGTCTTTGAAAACAAAGCATCTCAGATTCTGTAAGCCTCGAGATGCCTCCACCTCCTGCTTACTCTCATTGTTCCACTTAGCGCAGCACAAAAGGCAGCCCTACCTACCCACATACAATGTGCATCTACAGAATCAGTGACTGATTCTTATTGGTGATCCAGCATTCCATGAATAAATATACCTCAACAAAGCCAGGTAAAGACTTAAATACATGTCACAGGGCCCTAAGTAACCCACTGCATCGACCTGGAACTTTGGTTGGTAACGCTGCCAAAAGGATTTTCATACTTTCTGTGGCAGAGGATTAATGTGTAGAGAATCATTACATATAGTTCCCAGTTCATGAAGCAAAGGCCAGGGTACCAAAGCATCTCTTTCCAAAATACTGAAGTATGAATTCAATTAGGACAAAGAACTGAGCACAGGGCAAAAAAGTGGCACTGGGTAGAGAAGAAAAAAAGTAGTAACCTAGAGAGGTTTCCATCAGGACACAAAGTAAGTCTTTTTAGAGGAAAGGCAAGATACCTGGCTAACACCCTCTAGTGACAAAGGCAACTGGACTAACTGTATAAAGTACTCCAATAGAGCTTATAAATATTCAATATGTGACCCAGGAGGCTGCAAACCAGTTGAGTCAGTGTTAGCAACACTCATTTTTCGCATTTCCTCTAAAATTTTGTCTTCTTACCTATTAAAAACTACTTTGCACTCATTCTCCAGGACAGATGTCAGTCATCTCAGCTGACAGATTTCCCAATGACTGCTGCCACTGCTGTGATTTTGGTCTTCAATATAATGCAACTACATCACCACAAAGCTTTATTTGTTCCTACTACTTACAAATACATTGAAATGATGAACTTAACTTTTCCATTTCTTGTTTACTGTTCTGTATTTGCAAAGCAACCTGTTGCCAAAAAAGGTGCTTTAAGGCTCTTGACTGCAATATTCCAACCCAGCATTACTAAGAGCCCACCAGAAAGAAGCAGCTCAGGCAGTAGGTTCTATCAGTCCTTTTTGAAAAAGGCATCAGTAGAATGTGCCGTGACAGATGAGTGACCTTTCAAGAATCTTTCAAGAAGAGGAAACTTTTTAATAAACAAATAAATAAAATAGTTGCCATTTTCTCAGCAGCCTCATAAAACATGAGGGGTTTATGCTGGCTGCAGCTGGAACATGCCAGCCTTTTAAAAAAAAGGTGAAAGAGGGAAGCATTTCCCCACCTTCCTGTGGTTCCTCTAGACCATGCAGCTTTGCTGTGCAGAGGAACATTTGGCCTCCAACACAAGCACATTAAAACAGTTTCTTTTCGCTTTCAGACTTGTTTCGTTTTGAAGGAGAGCATCCTGCCAAAAACCAAATCACCACAAAATGTAACATTATAGAACCTGAGCATTTCAGCAGTGTGCTTTTCTTGGCTATCAGTTGTGACGTGTGGTTTGACCTAGCGGTTAACATTGAACCCACAAGTGGCTTTCACTGAACTTTCTCTATAGCAAGAGCATCAAGCATTCCTGAAATCCTCTCACAGTCCACTTTACTCCAGGAAGTATGCCAAAAGGGATGATGAGAAATCCACTCTCTGCTGCAATTAAATGCAAAAACAGAGATATGCAGTTGAACACATCCACCATGCAGAAAAGGCTAGTAAAATTCTACAATGCAGACAGGCCGGTACTACACACAGCCCATCAGGTCCTGTGTAAAGGAGTGGCAAACTTTAAGAGCAGAGTAGATTTTGTTAACTAGGAAAGCAGACCTTGGCACTGATCTAGTTGATCAGCACACTCATCATCATGCAAAGTAAGAAGCAGCATCATTCCTTTACTCCTGACTCAGGGATATCCAACCTGTGACTCGGAGAGTATGTGAAATGCTTGTGAGAAATTCACCTGTACCACAGCCCAGCTTCAAATCCTTCAGGAGAGGAAAAAGACCTGAAACACGAACCTGGCAGCAGCAGCATGCTCCCAGAGATCCTCCTGCTAGGACTGCCCCAAAGCAGGTGTTACAGATAACCCACACCTCGTGCAGTGACAGACACATACAAAGCTGTAAATTCAGCACATCTGCATCAGATTTACTGCACAGGCAGAGATCGAGTGTACTGCCCACACAGTGCAGCTGAGCAACCTACTGCAACAAAGCAACAGGACACTAATTATTCAAACACTTTGCAAAGGAAGCTCACAGCCCATTCAAACAGAGAACTCACCTCTCCTTCCTTCAAAGGGTCTCTAAAAGATGTGCATACCCAAGATAACTTGAGGGCTTTCTGCTCTCAAGAATTTAAGTGCTTTTGATTACACCAAATTCTCCTACCACAGTATTGACAAGGCAAAGGGGAACAGTCACATTTATAGTTGTGTTTTTTTCCCCTCTAAAAAGGGTGGAAAGAGGCTGGCAAAAGATACAGGCATGATGCCACTAAGGACAGGGGAAACTGCAGGGAAAAGCAGGAGTGAAATGATACCTTCAGAGATCACTTTGGCAGAAGGCAGCTGCCAGTAGCTATACAGCAAAACAAGAGTCCTGCCCCTATACAGAACAAGACAGGTCCCTAAAATGCACTAATGACCAGAACTTTAGACATACTCATAACTGGCTGGGAAAAATAGGATTACCTTATGTCTCATGAACAACTACATTTGTCCCATAGCACTTAAGTGGGGACTTAAAACTGCAGGTATTAGGTCAGTGCCTCACAATCTCCTCAAGTTAAAGGTGTCACATGGAGTTACATATACTTTGCAAGTAAGTTTTCTAGCAGAAAGTGGAGTGGAAAGTATGAAGAGACCCTGACAAACATTGTACAACATAATGGAGTCTATTTTGTTCAACCCCAGGGAGTGTCTGGGGCCCTGAAAGAATGACTGGAATTATTCAACAGCAAAAAAAAAAAAACAACCAACCTACAGGTGATTGAAATTGTTCCTATAAGGAACCCCAAAAGAAATTCCCATTTTAATTCCCTTGCCAAAGGCATATATGATGCACGCTTAGGAAAGGAGTGAATTTAGTTGGGATGAAAATTCCAAGAGCGTAGGAGGGAATTAGAAGACAACACACATGCACGCACCAGCAAAGGTAGCGCTGTATTTCACAAAAGCACATAGCTCTGTGAAAAATCTGAGCTACTCATTTCCAGATTGTATTTTAGAAAGAAAGTTTAGCAAGCAGACTGACAGACTTCATGCTGACCCAAAATGTCACAGTACTGTAAGTCTTCAGATCAGTAGTAACTGTACCTTATATGTATAAACTGACTTGTGACTGATTTCCATACTCAGTATAGTTCATTTTTCTGACATAATCTCACCTGGACCCTGGCTTTCTGGGAAGTTCTTGATGTTACATGGAGTTTAAGAGGTGACTTGCTTCTCCAGAGTCCTCTAGGATTCCTCGCAAAAGAAGATATTTTGTGTATTTTGCAGCAAGCTGCTAACAAAAATAGCTGGTTTGCTTGCATTCAGTTGTGGAGAATTGTGCTGGATGAATTGAGAAGGGTAGACAGGAAGATGCTGACTAAGATGAGTTGAAAATAACACAAATTATTTCTGAAGCATCCTTTAGGTTTTAAAGAAACTGAGAAACCTCAATAGATCCAATGCATCAAAACTACACGCATACAACATGACTTGCAGAACTACTGCATGTGACTGCTCTACCTGGACCCATGCAAAGCATTTGACATTGTCCTCCACAACATCCTTGTCTCTAAAATGGAGACACATGGATTTGATGGATGGACCACTCAGTGGATAAGAAATTAGCTGGATGGTCACACTCAAAAGAGTTGCAGGTCAACAGCTCAATGTCTGCGTGGAGACCAGCGACAAGTAGTGTCCCTCTGGGGTCTGTACTGGGAGCAGTGGTACATAACATCTTTGTCGGAGACACAGACACTGAGATTGAGTGCATCTTCAGCCAGTTTCTGGATGACACAAAGCTGAGTGGTGTGAGTGAAGGGATGCCATCCAGGGGGACCTGGACAAGCTGTAGGGATATGGAAAGATGAAATAGGGAGTTTGTAGGGGAGGGGGTAAAACCTACAAGAAAAATACTTTGTACTTTGTTATCTAGTTGCGATCTCCACTGTTTGATGGTAAAGTCTTGCATTAACCGGCAACCCTTTCTCCCCTGACTTCTGTTTCTTGTGATATGTGCTGATAGAGGTAAATACTGAAGTCGGCACCAAGAATTACATCTCCAGACATGTGAAATAAGACAGGTTAATTGCCATAAATGTAAAGAACTTGTGGAATGACTTGTGGAATATATACATGATGATTTGATTTAAGATGCCAAAAACTTCTTTAGAAGCGATGGTTGATCTGGAGGAGGTTTTCACCTCACCTGGAGACTAGAAAGGTAACTGCAACAACAGGGTGTTCTGTTTCACTAGTTGTTAATAGTTTATTTACAGCAGCAACCTAAGCGTTGTCCTACAAGGAGAGCTGCTTTTAGCAGTGAGGAGACTGCTCCAAGAAATACTCCATGTATATCTGAAAATGCACTACCTGAAAAGTTGTTACAGAAATTCCATTTTGATCATGGTACTGTCTACAAAGACACAACATAGCCATCATCTTCCTCTACAAGAGGATGTAGAGGGCTGCTTATGTCACAAAGCACCTCAATACACATTTCAGTCTCCACAATCCTTCTTTTCCTTCTCTCTCCTTTTCCAGCCTGTCCATGTGACAAGAGAGGCTGAAGCTAGACATGCTTGTCCTGGCTTTTCTACAGCAAGCCTGCCAGTTAGTTTCATCTTGCTTCACTCGAAAAAAAGTCAGTTAAACTCTGTTATTTACTCATCTGCACATTCTAACTGCCTGCTGAGAAGCAAGATCCTGCACAGCAACCTATGTTCCAGTCAAAACACTTGGAAGGCTTTGCAAGCATCACAATCTCCCTTACTACGTGCTTCACAGACCAAGACCATGGGTCTGTTACTCATGGTCCAAGCGTGCCTTTCTGACAGAAAGACAAAGGTGATTATCAGTCCTGATGCACCAGATGCAGCTTTTCCATGGAAAGAGGGACAGGGACGTGTTCTTGCATGGGCTGAAGGAAGCTACAAAATTAAGTCCAGTAAATATCATACTTTTATTTCAGAAGAAAACATAGGTATATAGCAATGCCAAAATGGGTTAGACTACACCACCCACATTAGTAGAGCCTAAAATAAGAGTTATAATCTGCATGGCCTACTTTTGCTCAGGTTGTGCAAGAATAAATAAATTAGATGAAGAAGTCTGGTACTGAAAGGACACATCAATGCTTAATTTCCTTTTGAGAAATAGCAGAGGGAACACAAACTCATTCCTTCTCCCATGAAGTCTCTTATTTCCAAGTGAATAACCTATTACTTTTACTAGCTTATGTCTTTGTTTACGGTTTTTAGCTGGGGTGAAAGGAGCAAGGGGCTGGGTTTGCTGGTTGTTTTCCCAAAATACGATAATACTAGGAGATCCAAATAAAAAGCAATATTCCAAATAAGGATGAAATAGTTACATACAGAGATCACAGATACCTCCACCATCCTGTTCATCTAATTTCAGGAGGTATGCTCCTGGAGCAAGTCCAGAGGAGGCCACGAGGATAATCAGGGGCTGGAGCACCTCCTTTATGAAGACAGGCTGAGAACATTGGGGCTGTTCAGCCTGGAGAAGAGAAGCTGCATGGGACCTCAGAGCAGCTTCCAGTGCTGAAGGAAGCTACAAGGATGCTGTGGAGGGACTCTTCATCAGGGACTGTAGTGACAGGACAAGGGGGACAAGTTCAATCTGAAACAGGGGCAGTTCAGGTTAAATACAAAGAAGCTCTTCCCTGTGAGGGTGCTGAGGCACTGGCACAGGGTGCCCAGAGAAGCTGTGACAGCCCCATCCTTGGCAGTGTTCAAGGCCAGGCTGAACAGAGCCTTGGCCAAAATGGTCTA